AAGGAGTGTAAGAAAATAATATGAAAAACTGTATGCCATAAAATTGGATAAAATGGATAAATTCCTAGAAACATCCAATCTTCCAAAACTAAATCAGGAAGAATCAGAGAATCTGAATAAACACATTACACCAAGTAAAATTGAAACAGTAATCAAAAAACTTCCAAGAAGCAAAAGCCCTTAGACTGGATGGCTTCAGAGGTGAATTTTACCAAACATTACGAAAAGAACTAACCCCTCTCCTTCTCAAACTATTCCAAAAAAATTCAAGAAGAGAAAAAACTCCCAAGCTTATTTTGTAACACCAGCATTATTCCATTTTCAAAACCAGATAAAGACACTACAAATAAAGAAGATTATATGCAATATCCCTGATGAACCTAGATGCTAAAAACCTCAGTAAAATATTAGCAAACTGAATACAGCAATATATCAAAAAGATCATAAACCATGATCAAGTGGGATTTATTCTAGGTATGCAAGGTTGGTACAACATTCACAAATCAATAAATGTGATACACTACATTAAAAAATGAAGGATAAAACCACATGATTATATCAATAGATGCAGAAACACACTTGATAAAATACAGCACCCATTTATGATCAAAACTCTCAGCACAGTGGGAGCAAAGGGGACATACCGAAAGATAAATAAGGCCATATATGACAAGCCTGCTCCCATCATCATACTCAATGGGCAAAAACTACGGTCATTAATAAATCAATAAACAAGTGCTGCTGATGATGTAGAGAAAGAAGAATCCTTTTGCACTGTTGGTGTGAATACAGATTGATGTAGCAACTGTGGAAAGCAGTATGGAGTTACCACAAAAATTAAAAATGGGACTACCTTATGACCCAGCAATTCCACTTCTGGAAATTTATCCCGAAGAAACCCAAAACACTAATTTTAAAGAATATAAGCACCCTTGTGTTCATTGCAGCATTGTTTACAATAGCCAAGATTTGGAAAAAACCCAAGTGTCCATCAGTAGATGAGTGAATAAAACAACTATGGTGCATTTATACAATGGAATACTAAGCAGCTGTAAAAAAGAAGAAAATTTTACCCTTTGTGACAGCATGGATGGACCTGGAGAACATTGTGTTAAGTGAAGTGAGCCAGCCAGAGAAAGACAAATACCATATGATTTCACTCATATGTAGAATCTAATGAACAAACTGAACTAGCAAGAAAATAGAGGCAGACTCATAGATAGAGAGCAGCTGACAGCTCTGGGGCATGGAATAGGGCGAGAGTACTGGGGGATCGAGCAAAAAAGAAAAAGGATTCATTGACATGGACAACAGTGTGGTGATTAAAGGGGTCTGGGGAGTGGGTGGAGGTGGAAGAGGGTATAAGAGTAATAAATGGTAATGGGAAAAATACAATAAAAAAAGAAAAAATAGACAAAATTTTTTTAAAGACTTTTAAAATTTATTTTTAGAGAGCGGGGAAGGGAGGGAGAAAGAGAGGGAGAGAACCATCAATGTGTGGTTGTCTCTCACATACCCCCGACTGGAGACCCAGCCCACAACCCAGGCATGTGCCCTGACTGAGAATCAAACCAGGGACCCTTTGGTTCACAGGCCAGCACTCAATCCACTGAGGACCACTGGGACAGCATGTGCACATGTCCCAGAGGTCTGCTTCTGCCTGCAGACTTTCTACTAGGCTTAATCACTGAAAGTGCCTCCAGCTGTCCTCCTCAGCAGCTGAGTTTACAATCCACAGGGTGGGGTGAGAAGGATTCCTGTGGGTGGGGCTATTGCTTTCCCCAGGGCTGATGCTGCATGGAAAGGAGTGCTTTGCCTGAGAAAGATGGCTTCTGGAAGAATGGGGAATGACTCAGCACAGGGACCCTGGAGGCTGATGCCTCAGCTCTTTCTCTGGAGCTCCCAACTCCAGACTCTCTTCACGTGGCTCTAGTCAGCTCTGCCCTCCCTTTGCTGGACCCCAGGGTAAGAAATTTTGTGTGTTGGCCCTTTAAGAGGCTCTTTGCATCTCTAGCCATCTACCCTGGTGGACAGAAACCACATTGTTTTTCACAGCCAGATATTATTTAGGTTCCTTTCCTGGTTGTGGTGCTTTAAGCTGGGGACCTAACTTGGGGTTTTGACCCTGCACTTCTCAGGGGGAACTCCCACCTGGCTGTGGAAATATCCCTCCAGAACTTCAGCTGCTGCCTGTGTGAGCCCAGCCAGCCCTCTTGTGCTTTTGCACTTCCTTCCAGTCTCATTGTGGTGGTATGGTTTCTTCCCTAAGTTCTTGGTTATAAGACTTCTTTCCAGCTACTGTTAAGTTGGTTATTCAGTGTGAATTTTCTTTAGTTTAGTTGTAATTCCAGTTTGGTCCTGGGAGGTGGTTTGTGTAGCTTGCACCTACTCTGCTGCCATCTTGGATTTCCCTGTATCTACCTTCATGACAGAGATTGTCTTCTACTTTCCCTTCGTCATACAATCCCTGTCAAGCTTTGAAATCAGGTTAATACTATTCTTATGAAATGACTTAGAGGGAAATCCTTTTTTCTCCCCTATACACTCGATGGCTTTGTAAGATTAGAATAATCTATAATTTTAGTGTTTATTGAATTTCAGTATAAAAATTGTCTTGGTAGAGGATTTCTTGCATTAAGTTTTTAAACTTCTGAACTAATTACTGCTTATAGAATCATTAAGTCTTTATATTTCTTCTTGAGTGCAATCTAGGAAGTTACTTTTTTAGCAATTCAATTTATCTAAGCTTTCAAATTTATTGATATAAAGTTGTTTACAATTTCATTTTATTAACAATTTAATATAGCATATGTAGCTTACTACTCTTTTCTTATTCCTAGAATTGCTTGTGATTTATCTTTATTTTTATTTATGGTCAATTTTACCTAAACTTTGTAAATTTTCTGCTTTTCCAAAGAATCAATTTTTGACCTTGCTGAGCATGACTATTGTGTATTTGTTTTCTATATTATTAATTTCTGATATTGTCCATATTATTTCTTTCCTCCTCTTAATTTTGAATATTTTATACTTCTTCCCTTACTTTTGAAATTCAATGCTTGATTCAATTTTTACACTTCCTTCTTTTATAGAATGAACATTAAGACCATAAACTGCTATAGCTGCTACTCACAAATTTTGATATGAAGTGCTTTCATTAATGCTCTGTTCAAACAATATTCTACTTTTCATCATGAATTTTCTTTGACTCATGTTATTTAAAAGTATGTTGCCCAGCTTCAAAACAAATGGAAGTATCTTGATTTATTTGGAAGGAAATATTCATTCTGTCTTTAACTGAAGTCAGAAAAATGTGTTCTTTATGACACCAATCATTTGCAATTTTTTGAGATCTGATTTATCCTTCAGCATGTGATAATATTTGTAAATATCCCATATATGCTTAAGAAGAATATGTATTCTACAGTATTCTATAGTATTCTATATATACTTCATTAAAATAACCTCGTTAATTGTGTTAAAATTTTTTATATCCTGAACTGCTTCTACAACTTGTTGAAAGATGTGTGTTAGTATATCTTTAGTATAGTGAGATTGTTAAATTCTCTTGAAATTCTTACAATTTTCTTCATGTATTTTGATAGGTATATATAATCTAGAATTTTTATGTCTTCTTAGTGAATTTAATATCTTATCCTGAAATACTGACTAGATATTTCTTCTATGAAACATGGGATTCTCCAGTTCCCAAAGTCAGCCATGTTACATTGTATGCAGTTTGTGAGTCACAGTTCTAGTTCTTATTCACTCACAGTAGGGCACTATCTAAGACCTTGATCTTTGATGGGTCTTTGGCAGGGTTCCACATCTCATGGCTTCAGGGTATTTTGAAAGTTCTCCTATACTGCTAGTATACTTCATGTGAACAGTAATGAAATTGCCTCAGGCTAATGAAAATTATTATAATTTCCTCCCAATTAAGGTAGTAAATATTGACATTTCAAATAGTGGAAATCAATGTCTTTGTTTGACAGGGGTATGTAGAACTATCCCATCTGAAGACATGGGAATGGATTAGATATCCTTTATGGCATCCAGGAAAGAAAATATATTGGAGCAATTTTTAAAAATTAACTGTAATTTCTTATTGTCATACATAACATTTGGAGTCTCTGTTTTCTCTGAGATCTTTCTCTTTCACTGGAGAGCCCATTGCTGTATGTGAACTGTGTGACTTTACTTTCCTGGCCATAAAAGTGTGAAGGTCATGAACTCTTGAACCAAACAGGGTCAAGGAAATTAGAATTGGGATTCAAAAGTATTAGACACTACCTCTTGTGCTGGAAAGACACATCAACATGGAGATGAGGCTAACATTTTGGTTCAGCCATCTTCTGCCATGAGTACAGAAAAAACTAAATACAAGACGGAAAGAAGGAGAAAGCAGAATTTAGAGGGGAGCAGAGCAAGCTAACACACAGCTTCAGGGAGAGAGAAGGAAACTTAAGTCTTGGTGTCTATATAGTTCTTGTACCCCATCTCTTAGATACCAGCTGCTTTTCTTACCTCGGATTATTTCAGATACACCAATATGCTTGCCATAAACCCCCCTTTCTGGCTTAAGCTACTTTGAGTGAATTTCTACCCTTGCTGATCTGAAACACTACTGTGCACATCAACTATACAGCAGTCTTCAGAGTGTCGGATGGTGCTGGAACCATTCCCAGAGCTGTGGTTAGTAGTATCTGAAGCATCTGAAGGAGTTCTTTATAAGGATCAGTTCCTGAATATAGTCTAACAGTTGGGTCTAATGCACTTTGACAACTTGCTGCCACCGCGTTGCACTTTTGATCAAATAGAAATTACAAGGAATTTTAGGTTAAACTAAATTCAGTGCTAAATAGTTTTATTGAAACTTAAAGAAACCAAACATAACTAGGAGAAAATATTTCAGAACGACATGATAAAAAACACTAGAACCCACATTTTTCTGCATAGAATATTTTGATGACTAAATTCAGGGCAACATTTTTTTTTTTTTAGTTTTCTACTGTACTTCCACAGAAAGAAACGTTCAAAATCCAGAGTATATAAGCATTGATGCACTTTTCTGAGGAAAAAAATAGGCTTGCCCCTAAAAAAAAAAGAAAGAAACCAATATTAATGTCTTTTCAAGGACTTAATGGGGAATGTGAGGTTGTGGGTAGCGGATGGGGAGAAGTGGATGTCACACAGTTTCCAAACTAGTTCTGAAACAATTTCAAGATCTAGCTCGCTAGCTATCAAAATTAAATCAACTGATTCAAAGATCTAGGAAGTTGCTTTTGGGTTGTTCCTAGATGGATACTTTGATTTTGTGTAAGTTATTCTTTGGATGCCCAGAATTAAATGATTAATTGAGTAATAAAAAGTCAATAGGTTCTATTGGTATTGTCTTTTCATTAGTCACTCATATGTTCCTTTGAATATGTCTTGAATATTCTCTAGTTCTGCCTTGAAAGGCATGTTTCAGAATGCTTACGACTGCAGAATCTAGAGCCAAAATGCTTAGAATTGACGCCAGCAAGGGTTTTGTGACCTCTCTCTGTAACTCAGTTTCCTCACCCAGGAGCAAATGAATTAACACACTTAAATCATATAGAATAGTGCATGGCAGAGATCAAGTACTATGTAAGTATTGGCCTTGATTATCATCTCTGAGTAGTTGGTATGCTATGTGGACACACCTAAGAATAGTCTGACAATTTCACCAGCACTGATTTGGAGTACCCAGTAGGGAGGCAACTCACCTTGAATTTCTTCTGCCATGTATGTTGGAATCCCTTTGCACATGCCAACGATGGATTTTCCAAACTGTTCCAGGTTGTTGACTTTGTTGGGGTTGATGGAGTACATCAGGCCTTTGGGAGGTGGTCCCCCTGGTCCTTCACCCTGAAGCTGAATATGGAGAAGACAGGGAAAAAGAAAGAGGGAGAATGAATGCTAAGCCCAGTGGTTTGTTGAATGAATTGAGGATTGTGTGCAAGACACACAGGCAGTATTGCTTGGCTATAATTTTTCCATAATCAAAATGAAGAAAAACCAATTGCAATTGTGTATATCTGAGAATTTCTAAGTGTCCCAAGGGACTTAGCTGGATTTGAAACCTCAGCTTCTCATAAAAGCAGAAGTCTGAGGCTAAATTTATTCTGAAGTTTGGGCCTTGCTTGGTCATCTTATATTTATTGGATTGAGCTATATGATAACCAGCTTCTGGGAATGTAGTTAGTTTATTTTCTCTACCTGGTCAATTAAAGGTAGACATTTATCAGTTAGGGGCAAGTGTGAGCCGCAGCATTAGAGTGTGGTCCCAGCCACTTCTCTCAGACACTTACCAATTCCACTTCCTCTTTTGTGTTGCATACTGCTGTGGTAAGAGGGGATGATTGTGACCTCATTATTTACTGGAGATCATAAGAACTGCCCTGAACAAAAATAAAAAGACTTTTATTTTTACCTTCTTTTCCTTGACCATGGCATCAAGGGCTTGAAGAGAAGGCAAGGCGTCCCTGTTCATTCTGTGCACAATGCATGCCTTCTTGTGAAAGACTCTGGTTGCAGCAAAGCCCTGTTAGGAAGGTGGTAGATAGTGAGGATCATGTTCCTCACAGAGCTTTTCTCATTAGAAATCAGCTTCGCCAGCAGAGGGAATGGAAATCTGAGACCATGGTGAGCTGGGATAAGAGTGCAGGATCTTGCCCTGTTTTACAATTGTATTTTTTGCTAATATTTCTAAGGATAAACCATTAACTCTTTGAGGGCAGAGACTCAGTATCTAACTTGTTGCTTTATCTTCAGGTACTAGCATGGTATGAGTCATTTACATGTCTGTTTTGCTAAAATAAACTAAAATACTGTCACATTTTAATCTCCTTTGATCTTTACATTTCAAGGAGGCAGATAAGACAGGAATTAGTTTTCTAATTGATTAGATGATAAAACTAAACCAGTAAAGAGTTGGCCTTTTAAAAGTATTAAGTTTGTTAACTACAGAGCTGGAAATTACACAGTTTGGTCTTCTCACCAGAGCCAATTGTTTTTTTGCTTCCCTTACCAATTAATATTGTCATTTGCATTTCCTTTGGTCATTTGAATTACAGTTGAAGTGTCAATTTCTGTCTTTCTAAAATGAAATTGAAGATAGTGAGATAGGCTATGTTATGGCAGCAACACTGTTGTGATGGTCTTTGAACCTTACTAGGGTATCTTGCAGGCAAAGCAAGAGGATGTTCATACTTGTCTTATGGCACCAACAATCCCTTGAACATAGTAGATCCTCATTACTATTCATGGATTTGATTTTTAACTGATTGTGGAAAACTTACTAAGAGCACTTATGTCTAGGAGGTGAAACTGGGGGAGCAAAATAGGTACTTTGACATATAACTACACTATGTGCAGTTAGAATTTATTTTTATATATAGTTAATAGGAATGGAAATTGCATGTTGGCTACCTACAGTTCTGTAATCCCAGAGCATATTCCAGGAGTCCCATCCATTATTGTTGTCAATATTGGCCACATTATGTTCATTGTTGACACTCACTGACTGCTGCCCACTTCCACCGCTGTTGTTGTTATCGCTGATGTTGATATTCTGAAATGTATAAGAAATTGATAATAATTTAATTCCACATTTCTTTGCAAATATGTTTTGGTAACACACTTTAAAAAGTGAGACTTACATAGTCAGCAAAGGCAGGAATCAGGAGGACACCGAGAAGTCCAGCAAAGACAATCTGAAATCACAAATATGGTAACATTGGTTTCCAGTCACGTGGCAAAATAGTGTCCGCTTTCATCTTTCTCTGTCCAAGCTTGTAGAAAATATTTACTAAATTCACCATTCTGCTGAGTGGTGTCTCTGTTCTTTGACCTTGTATATTTTTAACCATAGAAAGTTTTAATGATAATGTAGAATTGTAGGTTAATAGTAATTATGTTATTGTGATATATAGTTTTAGAATTTTTAATGTAGGCCTTGTGAAAAATATAATAAAGCATTAGTATATTGAAAAATAAATTTGAAAGTGAATAGCATACATGATATGAAAATGGTTATAAGTTCTGAGAATCACATCTGAAAATGATTTAACTTAATTTTCCTATTTGATATGAATGCTTTCCTCTTTTCATAGACCTCCTAATAACAGAAGAGGTCTCTTTAATTTTTATTTTTTAAAAGAATATATTAGTAAGCAAGTTGAATACTGGTGCTTAGAGGCAAAGCATGGAGTGCCTGGCTGTCAAGTGTGGTTAGCAGAAGGGAAGTCAATAATGTCCCAGGGAACCTGGTTTAGTCATTACCACTGGTACACTATATTACTTACCACAACACAGAGCTTTATGCAGGGTGCCTGGTTCTGAGTACCGATTCTCATTTCCCTCAACTGGGACAAAATGGTTTGAGAAATGCCCTTGTAATTTAAGGTAATTTTTAAAATTTGCTTATTTTTTTCCTCCTGATAACTTAAGAAGGAAGTAAAAATTTGTCTCCAAAGGAAAAAAAAAAGTCAAGAGGTGAAAGTTTAGAGATGGCTAGTACAATGCAGTCCTTTCACAAATGAGGAAATTGAGCCTCAAAAGTCACTTAAGTGACTTGACCCAGTTTGTATTGGCCAATGTGTAACTCTTGTTCATGGCAGAACTAGGGGAGATCCAGATCTGACCTCCTTTATTTTTTAACTTTGTTGTTTTTGTAACTTATTTCTAGATAATAATTTTACACTCAATTATGAAGCAGAGTCTGCTGTCATAAATTGTAGTATTTAGTATGTTGAAACACAAAAATACTCATCTGATTCAAGCCCCGTGTATGCCATCAAAAGAGACACAAGGTACCAGTTACTTTGGCAGAATTTTGTGGTCCGCTTGCTACTTTCTTAGTCTTTGATCTGGAACCACAGGTGAGATGCTGTACTAGCTTCATGCTTCAGGTGTTTTCACAAATAAATCACTATGGACAGGGTCCAAGGCAAACTGTTCCCACGTGGAGATTCATTTGACAACAGAGAGTGTGACAGTAAGTCCCTCACTCATTTGTTTTGATAATATGCGTTTTATCTTACCTGAACATGCTTAGGAATCTGGTAAAAAGAGATATTTAAGAATGTGGGGGAAAATCAGACCTTTTCTAGAGATTAGGGACTGCCTACTCTCTGTGCGGACTTAAATCAGGAGATCTGGAAAGTAATTTTATTAAAGACAGCATGGTATAAGGTGCTCAGACAGCTCTCTGATCCCAATATTACTATCCTTACAGAGATGTGTCAGCATACAGAGATGCTGATAAAGGTCACAATTTCATAAAAATAAAAGAGACTTTTTTTAAACCAAAATTTTCTGCTATGGTAATATTGTTACAAGAAGCAGGTGCCCTTAGCTCAGAATGTTGACAGTCTCCTATTATAAGGTAGTAAATTCAAAAGGAAAATTCTACTCACTGTGAACCTCATCTTGGCTTCACCAAAGCAAAAGAGTGGAGAAGGCAGTCAGGCATGGACTCGGACAAGAAGCCTTCTCATATTTGTACTTGACTTGCTTTACTCAAACTAGGTGTGACCAGGTGGAGTCAAAGACTTATCTTCCTTCATTTCCCATATCTCTGCCACAATCCAGTGTACCAGGAAGCCTGTGGAATAACTGCCTGTTTAGTTAGGTACTTCAACACGGAATTAACCTGACTCATCATTTGTTGAAGTTGAAAATATCACAATGAACTCAATATGATTTATGATAACTTTTAGTCCAACTGAAGTGTGGGTGTGGATATTTTATATATTGATATTATTCAGATTCAGAAAAGGAATAGTCCCTAAAATCAAACAAGGCCACAGATGAGAAACTATGAGCACACTGGGCCTTCCAGGTAGCAGCTCCTGTAAGAATGTGGGAATGAGCTCATCTTCTTACCTTTACCGGAGCCCACTGTAATGGTTTTGCTTAGGCTAACCATGTTCTGTTAGCTACCCCCCACCAATCTATCCTATTTTCTGCAGCCCTGACTCTCTCCATGATAGTACCATACTTCTGGTTAGACACCTTGGGGGCTGTCTTCAGCCCATTCTTCTGAAAACCACATCCAGTTAGTTACTCAGCCTTGACATTTCATCTAAGGAATTCCCCTTGCTCTTTTTTTGTGGTGCCTCTGAGGTGGCAGACTTCTTCAGAATGAAGTTGAACATCAGTTTCCAAGCCACTGGGTCCCTGAAACTCATTGAAATAGACAATGAACACAAAGTTTGAACCTTTTATGAGAAGCATATGGACAAGAAGTTGGTGCTGATGCTGTAGGTGAAGAATGGAAGGGTTATGTGGTTAGGATCAGTGGTGGGAAAAACAAACAAGGTTTCCCCAAGAAAACAGTGTGTCTTAATCCACAGCCATGTCTGCCTGCTGCCAAGGAAGGGGCACTCTTGTTATAGACTAAGGAAGACTGGCAAGAGAAAGCATAAATCTGTTTGAGGTTGCCTTGTGGATGCCAATCTCAGTGTTCTCAAATCGGTCATTGTAAAAAAAGAAAGAAAGAAAGGAAGGAAGGAAGGAAGGAAGATATTCCTGGTCTTGTTGATACTATTGTACCTCACCTGAGGTCCCAAAAAGTTAGCAGAATCTGCAAACTTTTTAGCCTCTCTAAAGAAAATGATGTCCACCAATATATTGTGAGAAAGCCTCTAAAAAAAGAAGGTAAGAAACCTAGGACCAAGCACCCAAGATTCAGTATTTTCTTACTCCACGTGTTCTGTGACACAAATGTCAATGTATTTTGTGAAGAAACAGCATACTAAAAAATAAATGAATGAATAAATAGGAAAGAGGCCACAGAATATGCTAAACTTCTGGCCAAAAGAATGAAGGAGGCCAAAGAAAAAGCCAGGAACAGATTGCCAAGAGATGAGGGCTTGCTTTTCTGAGAGCTTCTACCTGTAAGTCTGAGTCCTGTCAAAAATGAGATTTATCTAAGAGTAACAAATAAGTAACGAGAAGGGGGGAGGGAAGGGAAGGAGGGAGGGGAAAGAAAGAAAGAAGGAAAGAAAGAAGAAAGAAAGAAAGAAAGAAAGAAAGAAAGAAAGAAAGAAAGAAAGAAAGAAGGAAAGAAGGAAAGAAAGAAAAAGAAAGAAAAAAAGAAAGAAAGAAAGAAAGAAAGAAAGAAAGAAAGAAAGAAAGAAAGAAAGAAAGAAAGAAAGAGACAAAGGAGAGAGAGAGAGGAAGGAAAGAAGGAAGGAAGGAAGGGAGGGAGGGAGGGAGGGAAGGACGGAGGGAGAGAGGGAGAGAGAGTGAGAGAGAGAGAGAAAGAAAGAAAGAAAGAAAGAAAGAAAGAAAGAAAGAAAGAAAGAAAGAAAGAAAGAAAAAGAAAAAAGAAAGAAATGCCTGTGGAGTCTGTCTTTGCCCATCACTCCTCTCTCCTAGACTTTTACAACGATTAGGTAATTGATCACTCTGGTCACCGTCTTTTATATTTCAACACGTGAGTCTACAATGCTTAGCATCTCCCACTGGCAGCCCATGAGATAAAGTTCAAACTCACTGGAATGGTGTCAGAGTCCTCTATAATAAGGCTCCCAAAGCCTCCCAAGCTGTATCTGTCACTCTCTGCCATGTACTTACATTGTGTCAGAGTTCCCATCATTCGAGGAATGTTCAGGATGTTCCATGCCTGTTCTCTCACCCTGGAGCACCAAGACCTTGCCTTTCTTTAATTGGTAAACTGCTATTTACTTTTCAAAGCCCAGCTCACTACCTCTGCTTCCTATCACATCTTCTCCATATTCTAGGGGGAACTTCTTTTTTTCCAGGAGCTATAAAAGAAATCTCTGTCCCTTGATTTACTTCTAGATAATTTTCAGAAATTATGTTACAATAATAAAAAAATGTTTTCATCAGAAGCAGAGTAGCAACTGTTGCAGGCAAACACATATATGCTCAGGAGATGAATTTCAGTTTTTTCTCCTGTTCTTCCCTAAAATTTAAACTAGTAAAGCAAATTGCTGAAGAGTAATACTTTATTTCATTAATCACTATAAAGTTCCCCTTTGGAAACCTTCTTGAGCCCACGATTACGCTTTTAGGAATGAATCGGAATCATAGTGCGTGATTACAGGGTTCTAAAGCTTGATTCACTGCCAACATCTCTCTCAAAATGTTGGTGGGGTGGTAAGATTTTATGTGTTTAATGTGTCCACAAATTTCTTTCAAATGCATACATTAGTTGCAAAAGATTGATAAGCCCGCGGTAGAAGGCAGAAATATGAAAAGACGTCTTCACCTGCTTCAGGAACTATCACTTTACTGCAAAGTCAAAGAGTGTACATCATGGCGACTTCCCAGTCAGCCCTAGGTAGTCATTTTAGTACATGCCTGTGCCCTTCGTGCGTATCATACCTTACCAAGGACTTGAGGTGGACACTTTCTACAGCGGGCCTATGAAATGTTCCATGACAAACAAATGGATAGAGAGATAGAGCACAGGATCCAATAATCCTTCTCTTAGAGGTTGACAATTCACATTTGCATGTCAAATATACTCAGAAATCTGTAGGGGGGCAATCAATGCCATGTTGTTTCATTCAGATCCTCCTAAATTTAAGTGGCCTTAGATCTTAGTTGCTTTTCCTTTTTCTTATATTTATTTGTTTCTCTAACACATATTATTAACATCCCTGGGGGACATGTGCTACTTCTGAGGATGCACCCTGGATTTGAAAATCCTTTTGGGGAGCTACTGATTGGAACTAGAAGCCAGGAGACTGTTCTGCTTTCTTCTTTCAATGAGTCTTTTTTGCCTCCTAAGCTTTAGGTTTCTTATGGATCAAAGAGAAAAAAATCCCTTCTGTGTACAATATTGTTACTTTGTGTGGCATATGTATGAATGTGTGTGTGTGTGTGTGTGTGTGTGTGTGTGTGTGTGTGTGGAGGGAGTGGGGGTAAGGTGGATGGTCAGCTCTTACCTTAACCCTTGTCTCTCACCCAAGGCCAAAAGTCTTAAGGAAGCGTGAGCAAGCCTCTGGCTCCCTCTCATACTGAGAGCTATGCTTACATGATTCTGTCCTGCAGGAGAAAGACAGAACATATCCATGTTTATTTTTTGTCACCTCTATAGAACCTAGAATATACTGGCACATATATGATGCTCCACAGGCTCATTTAAAATTTTTTTTAATTTTTAAAAATTAATCCTCACCTGAGGATATGTTTATTGATTTTAGAGAGAGATGAAGGGGGTGGGAGGAGAGAGAGAGAGAGAGGAATATCAATGTGAGAGATAAACATCGATCGGCTGCCTCCCATCTGCACCCTGACTGGGAACCAAACCCTCAACAACTCAGGCAGGTTCCCTGTCCAGGAGTTGAACCCACAACCTTTTGGTGTAGGGAATGATGCTCCAACCAACTGAGCCACCCAGCCAGAGCTCCATAGGCCTGTTTTTAGTATAGTAATTGCGTAAAGGAGATGCTTAAGCTAGAGAATAAAAAATGTATTTCTTTATTTCTGAGTTTGGAGCCCTGGGAGAGGTACTGACCTATGTTGGCTATAAGGACACATCAAGGGAGTCCCAGGAGATGGTGTGGCCCCGGTGCCCTAGGGTCAGTGTGGGGCAAACCAGCTCATGAGTAAATAAGGCCTGCCCTTCCCACAGAGCTTGATGTGGGGCAACGCCAAGAACCAAGCCCCTATCGTCATTTTATCTATCTCACTGCACACACACCCAAGGCCTCGCTTTATCTCACACCCTGTCCTGTTGAATTGGGTGAGAACTCCCTTTGTGTGGAACAAACAGGGGATACAGTCAACATATTATATGCTCACACTGTAGAGAGGGAGGGTCTTTAGTGCTTTCCACGGAAATCAGACTTTTCTCTGAGTGGAAGGAAATGTTTATTTGCAGGGCTTGTTTTCATCATTAAATACCCTTATTCAAGATCCCCCCTCCTGTATAGATATGTCCATGGGCTGACTTTACAGTCGCCTATGAAGCCCTTAGTGATTCTGTCTTCCCTTTAATTCCTGCTGTTTCTGATACTCAGGACTCAGCTGGCCTTTAGCCTATTTGACCTCACATTCTAATTTATTTGCTTGAGTGTAGAAGCTCCTTCACGCAGAAATTCTGTCTCAGTTTCTTTGCCTTGATTCTTGTTTCACTGAGCATTCTACGCATCAGTCTGAAGATCCTTGGGATGGTCTCAAATCAGGTGGTTCACTGTGAGATCTGAACATACCGTCACCTCAGGGGAAAGTTTTGTCCCCGTGTAGGGCCTTGCTTACCAGCCTGCAGCTAAGACTCAGTTATGGATCCTGTGGCTACGGCTCCCAGGGCCTGTGGCAGTGGGATGCTTGTATCAAATCTTCCATGTGCCTCTGTGGCCGGGAGAAACACGTCCAAAAACATAGCAATAGGAACATGTAAATTAACATTTTAATAACTATTGCTAAAAAGCTCCTAATCCCAGAAAATCCATGCTTATTACATAGTTGTTTTTGT